CCCCAAAACCCCAAAACCCCAAAACCCCAAAACCCCTCCAATTGGGCTTTGTTGAATAAAGTTTAGAGTAGCAACAACTTTTCTTCAGGAGCATTTAGGCCGTTAGATCTTCCACCCATCATAATCTTCTGATCTCCTGAAGTCACTGATCGAGTACCTCTGCTTCTTGCGTGAAATCTTGTAGGCTTTTAGGCATTTCTTGCTGTTTAGGATAGAATCAGAGAATTCTATGGGTTAAAGATCAACCAACCATTTCTTTTTCAAAGTTTAATTCTGCTTCCTGATTTCCTAAAATACATTGTAAAGAATTATCAGATTAATAAGTACTTTGGAGGATTTTTCTGTTCCTTTTCAGAGGATATTAGTTTCCCGTAAGGAGTTGTACCCAGGCCAAGTTTCTCTACATTTTTAGAAGTCAGCCTTACCCCTGAACTTGTCAATGCAGTTGTTATTTTATCACACTTGAAAGGAGGATATAAACTTGCTCTATTCTGTCAGGCAGACAATCCTACCTTTATGAGGAATTGCATCATTCCTCAGATAAGATTTCTTTGCCATTGATGAGGGAAGGAGATTGAAGCAAGATTCATCCTCTGCATATCTTGATTGGGACTTGTTAGGTTTCCAAAGTTTCTAAGAGATCAAATCAGGGACTTACGGAACTATTATTTGGTATTCCTTTGTAAAATCTTTGCTTCATCAACCCTTTATTTTATCTTAATTGTAGCTCTATTTAGCTTGCTCATAAAACTTTGCTTAGCATTTATGCATATCTTTCTGCCATTATTCTGACTTTCTAAACCGTCAGGAACCTAAATTACCTTGCTTTGAGGCATTAGTGTGGTTTGTTGCCAAAGAAATCTTCGGGAACTTTATTTGTCACTCCTTTATTTCCTTCCCATCATGACAACCTTGAACATTCTGATAAGGCATTTGGGAGATATTGACACTTCGTGCAAGAATATTGGCACCTTTCTTCTTGATCTTACTTGTGCCATCAAAACTTAAGGTGTTCTTCCTTGATCGCTTCTAAAGAGGAGGTGATTTTGGAACCGAATTTGGCCAGGCTGTTAAGATGACGGAGTTTAATTGGGTAAAGGTAGGTTAAGGGATGGGAGAATGGACTTACTTGGGCTTTTTGGAGAATTTTGAGGTAGTTGTTGTGGGAATTTGAGGTGCTCATTTTAGATCAATTTTTATAAGAATTTAAGGGGTTTTGGGGTTTTGGGGTTTTGGGGTTTTGGGG